CGCGCGGCGGTGAGTGCCTCTTCTCTCCCCCCTCAGCGATCGCCCCCCTCAGCCCTGAGGAGATTTTTGGGGTCCCGTCCCCCCGGGAGGTTTTTGGCGGTGCTGAGGTGGCCCAGAGAGCGCGGAGCGTGTCCCTGGAGCTCCTGCCGCTCCTCGGGGGGGCTTCAGCCCCTTCCGTTTGTTCCGAAATGTTTTTTGTGTCCTGATAGCTTCCCCTCACCCCCGTTTTCTTTTTCCCTCCCATGGAAACGAGGTGTAAAACAGTCCTACGGAATAATAGGTTTAAAGAACCTTGGAATATACAGCAGTTTCAGTCAGTGTAAGGGTCGATTTCCTCGATTTTTAGGGATGTGTGCTCTTAAAGCCTCTAAATGCTAAAAATACCTTTTGTCTGCAAATGCTTTTTGTCTGCTTACTTATACAGCGTCTTCATTTATTAAGCATGAGAATAAAAAGATGCGATGCTGTTGAAGGTTATAGCTTCTTATTGTTGCATTTTTTCAGTGGGAAAAAAACATTTTTTTTTGTTCAAAACAGTAGGTATGGTTAATATAAAAGCTACTGATTGTCTGTGTACATAGGTTTTGTTTGGGTCCTTACAAGCGCTTTAAAGGACATAAAAATGTTTTTCTTTCTCTTTAAGGTGCGTGCAAACGGAATTGAACTGGTACCTCTGGTACTTCCAAGCAAGATGAAGATCCCTTCTTTGCTGCTGAGGTTCCCTCGTTGTTATCTCTCTAGAAGACTTTATTTCACACACTTCTGCTTCGCCTCCAGAGCAGATCCCCTGTGCCTTGGATCTCTTGTGCCAGCACACCCCCGTCGTACAAAATGGATGTGCTCATCAGATGGCTTGAGGAGAGAGCTGTGCCAACAGGCAGCTCCTGACCAGCAGACAGAGGAGCTTTCTGACAGAGAACAAAGACTGCTAGACAGACTTTACAGTGGACTAATCCAGGGCCACAGAGCCTGTTTAGCAGAAGCCATTACCCTTGTAGAATCCACTCAGAGTAGGAAGAAGAAAATAGCCCAGGTGCTCCTTCAGAAGGTATTATCCTACCACAGGGAACAAGAAAAGTTAAATCAAGGAAAACCACTTGCCTTTAGAGTGGGTTAGTCCTTTTATGTCTGTCCAGTAGTTGCTTTGATGGAATTACAGCCCTCACCTTTCATTGCTACTCTTGTTCTTTAAGTATTATATTTAAATTTCTTTTGAGTTCTTTAAGTATGGTGTCAGGTCCTTGGTTTCTTGTGTTTTGTAACCAATCTATATCACTGCTGGTGTTCAGTAGAATTATGTCTTGAGCTGGAAAATGCTTTTTAAAAAGCTCTAGATTATTGTTGCTTCATGGGTTTATTTTTTTAATAACCATTATAAGCTGAAATGTTAGGTAGTTTGCAGATTGATAGAGCTCCACTTATGTGGACACCCAGCTGCCACCTCTCATGTGTGTATGAAGGTAGTAAGGATAAGAATTTGGCCATGGGAGTGAGACATGTTTGGTGCTAACCTTAGTTTGTGATTAAAGCTGCTTAGTTGGGTGTTTCAATCATGGCAATAACTTTTATTTGCCCTCTGTGTGATGCTGTGTTAAAGTATGTTTGTTTTCATGTGATGTGTTATTGATTTGATTAACAACATGGGTTTTTTTCATCCTTATGTGATTATTTAGGGTTGTCTGGTCCCCCTGGTGCTGGGAAATCCACTTTCATAGAATGTTTTGGGAAAATGCTTACAGAAAGAAATTACAAAGTGTCTGTGCTGGCTGTAGACCCTTCCTCTAGCACAAGTGGTGGTGAGTGTGAATTTGGGTCAGGTTTCTAATGTGTTGTCAGCTACAGGAGTTTCTCATCTTTGCCAAACTTTGCTCATCATTTTTCTCATCTGTGCCAAACAGGAAAATCTGGGGCCTATAAAAGTAAAACATGAAAAATAAATGGTGTATCAAGTTTTCATTTTTTTCCCTGTGGGATATGAAATTAGGAAATATGTATCAGCATCCTAATTTTGGCAGTTTGCTCTTTTGCAGTGTTTGAATGTTGCCTTTTTTTGTCTGAAACTTTAGAGAGCTGCAGTTTTCCCTCTGTATTTATTTCCCTGTGAGTGAAGGAGAGGGAATTCATTTCTGCTTCAATTTCAGCAGCATTAGTGCTGATTGCTGGTCAGGTAGCATGTGCTAATTAAAACCCTTTTTGTTGACTGATTACAAGGCCTCCTGATGCAGTATCATTGTCCATCTCTCTGACTTGTAGCATGATTTTCTTTTTTTTTCTAAATTTGAAATTCTTCAAAGTTTTATGGCTGTAATTTGCCACTCAATTAAAAAACTGGAAGGAAATTATACCCTGAGCATGCTATGACACTACAGTATCTCTGATGTAAATAATAGAACCTTGATTTTGATCTTTTTCTAATAGGCACCAAAATCTTGAGCCACTAGCAGCTGGATATTCTTATTTGACAGGCTTCATCCAAGAGATCTGTCTTTTCTCATTTCTGGGTGAGGGAGAAGTTTGGGTTTTTTGCACTTTTGAGATGATCTCAGGTGGAATGTTTCAGGTTCTCTGTTGGGTGATAAAACACGGATGACTGAGTTGTCAAGAGACATGAATGCCTACATCAGACCATCTCCAACCAGAGGGACACTGGGAGGAGTGACCAGGACCACAAATGAAGCCATTCTGCTCTGCGAGGGAGGAGGCTACAATGTTGTTCTCGTGGAAACAGTAGGTGTGTGCTTCAGGATTTCTTCTGATTATCCTGCTGTTAACTAACTGCATTCTTTCCTCCTTGATCCTGTTTGTGCTTCACACAGGGTCACTGTTTGAAAATTAATGCCTCTTCTGTCAGTTTTCTGGTGTTGTACAAACTGTTGTGTTTCTGCTTGTCTCTGTTAGTGGGACTTGCTCATGGGGCAGTGCTGGGATCTGTTGTAGTTGCTGTCAGTGTGACTGGGAGTCTGTCATGAAGACTGAACTGTGGCTTTCCTTGCTGCAGGTGTGGGCCAGTCGGAATTTGCTGTGGCTGACATGGTTGATATGTTCATACTGCTGCTGCCACCTGCGGGTGGGGATGAACTACAGGTATGCTGCAGTTTCTCTGCTCAAGTATTGAAAGAGAAAAATAAATCAAATCCAAGATGCAGTATCTGTGTAGAAAGTCCATTTCAACAGTGTTCTGTATATTGCACTATTACTGCAGTCTTTTCAGTGTCTTAACAATTTATTGTGCAGTTGAGGTCTGATAACCCCCCCTTCTGGTTTTGGAAGTATTAGAATGTTACATTTTTATACTCTTTGACTGACTTTGGCCTATTCAGAAGTTATAATTTAAGGCATGAAGTAGGCTGTCATGTAAACTGATATACATATTTAGTCTTCTCATGTCAAAGTAGAGTAGCAACTAGTAGTGGCAGAGGCTGTTGGTACCACTCTGGCAGACACACACACGAACAACAAGCCAGCAAGCCTCACCAGAAACTCACAGAGCTTTTTGACCTGCTTTTTGTGCTAAATGGATGTGTGCCCATCCTCGTGGGCACTGATGGCCTCTCTCCACATCTCCCTCAGGGGATCAAGAGGGGCATCATCGAGCTGGCCGACCTGGTGGCCATCAACAAAGCGGACGGGGACCTGGTGGTGCCGGCGCGGCGCATCCAGGCCGAGTACCTCAGCGCCATGAAGCTGCTGCGCCGGCGCTCCAAGCTCTGGAGGCCACGGGTCAGTGCACCTCCCTGCCCTTTGCTGGGGGATTGGATGTGGCTTGGGTTGGGTTTCGTGGGTGTGCTTGGGTTCTCTTTTTCCCCTCCAGAAAAAAGGCAGGGTGGATGGCTTAGGATTGCTGGCATCTCACCCAGCGATACTAATCTCCCCAGGATCCACTGGGAAAATTTCACTTCTGTTTAGTTTTACACTGGAGTCTCTGCACTGCTGAGAGAGTTGGTAGCTGCTGTTCCTCTTCTGCCTCTGCTCTCATGGTGTGCCTCCTGAAACACTGGTCAAAGCCAGCCCTGCTCCCCACGATTTCTGTCCTGAGCACTAGTAAACTGATTACTGATACCAGGAATGGTAAAAGCTTGTCCTGTTTTCTGTCAACTATGCATGTCTTAAAATACTCAAAAGCTATTTCTCCATCTTTTATAACACTGAAGCCTGTGATTGTATTTGTTCTTTCACTTATTCATGTGTTTTCCTTTATTGCTTTAATTTTCAGAAAATTTTTTATGTAATAAAAGTTCTTGGGCAAGAACCTCATCTACTTGTATATACAATGTCCAGATTATTGGAGTTCTCATTTTGTGGGCCTTTAGTTTTAATGCAGTATTCCATCTATTAAAAGGTTATGGTAAATTATTAAGGAAAGGATTCAGTACTAATTTTGAATATGTGTATATAAAATAATATAAAATAAGCACACACATTCTCAATCCCTTTTTTTATATGAAGGAGGCTTTCTCTACTCTGGTATTAAAATTGGCTCATTAAGTTTAAGTCAACTGGGCTACTTGAGGTTTAGCCATCATTTAGTAGTTTTTATTTCTACATCTGATGAGAGGCCAAGTCAGATAGATGTGACCCAAAAGAACTGCTCAAGACTGGTGAATGAAACAGGTTATCCAAAATCTGTCTCTCTTCCAGGGCTGGCATTGTCTGACAACTAAGAAAATACTGATGTCTAGGGGCTGTATCCTATCTGTTAGGTTGGGGAGAGAGAGACTTTTTGTAAAAACCAGCCTGTTCCATTTAAAAAAATCATGTTGGATGTCTGAAATATTTTTGGCAAAATGAATTCTTAGTCTGGAAAGCAAATGCAAAAAAACCCAGTGGAAGTACCTCCTTTCAGGAATATCTGAAATGCAGAAGAGTAGCTACCAGAATGCATCTCCCAGAACATGTAACTAAATCTCCATCTGAGTTCCTTGGCTTATAAAGTTCTCCTGAATCCCACAGGTGCTGCGCATCTCTGCCAGGACAGGAGAAGGAGTCTCAGAGGTGTGGGATAAAATGGTGGAGTTCCAGGAGCTCATGCTGGCCAGCGGAGAGCTGCTGGCCAAACGGCGCAGGCAGCAGAAGGTCTGGATGTGGAACCTCATCCAGGAGAACATGCTGGAACACTTCCGCACTCACTTGGCAGTCAAGGACAAGATCCCACTGCTGGAGGAAAAAGTCCTCAGTGGTGTCTTGTCTCCTGGGCTGGCAGCCGACCTGCTCCTCAAAGCATTCAAAGATGGTCTCTAATGCACTCTTTTTGTGTAAACATGAACATTAAATACAGTTTTCCTATGTGTGGATTCAAGTGTTCTACTGCAGCAGACATCAACAGGACACCTATGCAGGAGTCAGCAAAAATATACTGTAGGATTCTGTGCTTGCAAAAATCATGACAAATCCAAACTCTCCCTCAGAGATCACTACAGACAGACTGTCTTGGAGCCTTCTGTACATCTGGAATGTGCCTGGTTTGGGGGAGGAGGGGAGAGAAAGGTTTGTGGTGGGGCAGGGTTTTATTCTAATTCTGGGACCATCCTGGAGCAGTTGACACAGCAGCTTTCCATTCTAACAGCACCAGCTGTTGCCAGCATGGATTGCTTTTGCTTTCCACAGTGAGTGACAGCAAGAAGGTTGGACCCCTCCCAGCAGCACCTGATCACAGCCTTAGTTTAAATAAATTGTATGCATATAAATAGAATATAGTGATATTTGGTCCCTGTTTGGAAGCTATAGTTAGTTATTGTGCACCAGGAGGATGGAATTTTAACCATCTCAGTTTCTAAACAGATGTTTTCATACAAAAGCAAAATTTAGGTAGACTTTTTATAAAATGGAGACATCAAACAGAAAAAATGTTTTTCTGTTTTCATCCATGTTTTTCTTTATACTGGAATAATGGAATGATTTGAGGTTTTCTGATCTGACTTGGTTTTTTTGGTTTCAAACAAAATGTGCAGTTGGGTTTGGTTTGGGGTATTTTCCTTCACTTTAGAAGGCATAGCTGCTTTCAACCAAAAGTATATTTATTTTTTTTTTTAGTTCCCTTGAGAACAAATGTAGAAGCAGCATTTTCCTAAGCCATGATCCTAGATAGCACAGCTCATCTGATGCCCAGTAAATATTAAAGTGGAAAAATGCTGATTTTTTGAAACATGGTAGAAAAACCATTAAATAGCTGAAGATTTTGAGAGTCTACTGTTGCCTACATGAATTGACTCTAAAATCAAAACAACCCTGGAAGTGATAATTTTTACAGTCTTGATTTTTCTGGGCACATACATAAAAGCTACAGTGTCTTCAATTTTTATTTTATCCCACTTTCATTTGTTTGGCTTTCTAAGAAGTATTTCACACAATGTTTTGATTTCCAGTAACCTGAGTCTGAGTTTTTGAGATAATTCCAGGATAGCAATGAATTGATTTACTTAAATCCTCTTTTTTTTTTTTTCCTTTGGTTTTTTTTTTCACAATTTTTTTTCCCCCTTCCTTCCTCTCATCCCAATTGTTATAGTTTGTTCCAAATTAAATTTACTTTTTTTCTGCCAGACCTCTGTTTCAGAATTTTGATTCCTGCATAGGTATGATTTGGCAGCTGTCAGAAAAGATGAATGGTTGTAGAAAATACTGAAGATTTTGTATCCTTTGGTTTGTCAAAGTGGTACAAATGAAACAATGCAGAAGAAATCTCAGTACTAGCATTGCAGTTTTCCTCTCATATGTTGGTGTCTGTATAATTGTCCATCTATTTTTACTCTAAAAATATGAAGCGTGATCAGAGAGTAAAAAGCAAACTTCAAAGCAAAGTGAAAATACTTGGTAGTTAAAAGCAATGATCACCATGTATGTTTGTAGTGAAATATTCACAGATAACACTGTGGGGGTTTATGGGATGTTTGTGATAAGAAATTTTGCACCATCGTAGCTGGTTTCCATCACATGAATTGTCAGAACTTCAGTGCTCTGACTTATTCCTCTTTCTTATATTCCACATGCCAAAGGAAAAATTTGGGATTGCTGCAAGCTGTTAGGTAGAAGGAGCTGAAGGGATGTTAGGGGGTGGCAGAAGAACAGTGACTCTGTTAGTGACTCTGTGAGTTGTGAAAAAAAAAATGTGGGACATAGAGTTTCTTCCCTATTTAAAAACAGTCTCTACTGAATATGGCAGAAAATGCCCCAAACCAAGAGCAGTGTCTTCTTTAAAGTGCCCCAAACCAAGAGCAGTGTCTTCTTTAAGACATTCCTTCATCCTTTCAGCTTTAAAAATTAACTGTATTCTGGTGGGACCTAGGAAGAGGAATGACAGTCAGGTGGAAGATGGCTTAATGAGTGGCAACGTTTTAACTGATGAGTTCTTACCTTTTGATAGTCCATTTGTTTCAAGTGACAGTTTTTAAGCAGACCTAATTTGTGCTTATCTGTTAGATCAAACCCAGATTATTGTCATTGCTTGTCAGGGGCTGCTGTTTTCCTTGTCTGTTGTACGTGAGCTGTCAAGCAAGGAAAAGAACCTGCAGCTTTGTTTAAATGATGGCTGCTGGAGCAGAAGATGGTTTACCATTTCTTCAGGATGTTTTCTGGATGCAGAGCTGTCTGTCTGCTCAAGCCAGGGGCCATCATTATTTTCTCATTTTGTTGCTTCTTTTAAAGTATGGTTAATTTACTAATGAGCTCTTAGCAGAAGACAGCACAATGGCTTAAGCAAGTTCTGTTTTCCATTTAGCTGCATTTTTTTCTTCAAGCAGAGCACTGAATGAAATGAGATGTGCCTTCTTTGTGTTCATTTGTGCCTCATGCTTCAGCAGACAGAGAAACACCCTTGTACTGAAAAGGGTCTTCAGAAATGGCACAATAGATAAGGGTCCTTCCTTTGTTCTTCAGGGATTCCCTTACCACACTGAAAAGCTATACCCCACAAACTATGGCCTGAGGCTTCCATGCAAGAGCCAAATCCTTCATTTTATAGGTTGTCAAATTTTGCTATTGCATGTTCTGGAGCCAAGTGCTGCTTAATTAATTGTGCAGTTTCATTTGTGTCCTCATGGGCTGGGGAAATGTATTGTCTTCAACCGAGCTGCAGAGCTTTAGCTCTACCAGCCACAGTTTGGTAAACAATTCAGGATTTCCCAAGGTAAGGGAGAGTATTTCCAGCTCATCATTTCTGGCTCTGTGGGATTAAGTGGAGTAAAACGCATTAAAATGTTGTTCAAGTAAACAGGCTTCTGAAAAAAAAAAGATAGTAAACAAATCTGTTGAGTGGGATGCTGACATACTCTTAGTTGCTAGAGTTGCTAAGTGGCTCTCATGTTAACATTTCCAACCACAGCTACTGCAGAACATCATGAGAAAATGGCAAGATTAAGTCTGTAGCTAGAGGTACAACAAACCGTTGGACAAATTGGTGTGGGAGGTAAGGAGCAAACTTTTCAGACACACAAACTGTTTGTGTGCTACAAAGTCTTGCCAGTTGTATGTAAGTGTGAAACTTTTCCCTAGGTCCTTGGGTCTCACAGCTGGAAAAACAAGTGTGGTGAGATCAAGTGACTTACCCAGGACACTGAAACAGGTCAGTGGAGTATGAGGGTTACAGTTCAGTAGTCTTTACTCTCAGCCCCATATATATTTATGGCCATGTTACTTAAGGTTGAAAAAATGCTCTTAGCAAGTTCATGCTCTCAGTGTGACTTAATCCTTTCATATCTAATCTCTCTGTTGCCAGTGACAGGACGCAGTGACCCTTCCTCGACTACTGCTCTGTTGTAACGTCCTGCTTGAAGTAGTAGAAAACTTTTTCCTTGATTCCTAATCTGCCCTTGTGTTTTGTAAACACAATACCTCTCTTATGCATGCTTGTTCAGCCTTTATGTTCTCTTACATATCATTTATTTGTGAAACCTGCAGTGTTTTGGCTCTATATTTGTGACTCTTGAGATTTTAGGGCACAGGGATTGAACTGAAGAATACTAATGAACATTTTTTTTAACCTTATGCAGTTCCCTTCCTAAAGTTTTCTTTCTTAATGTGGCAAGACTCAGTTTTTGACTTGCTCTGTGTTAGTGTAAACATACTTCTTTCCCCTTTACTTTTCCTTGCCCAGAGTGCTCCGTTGCTCCCTCCTTGGATGTGCAGTTGAGAAGTAACATTATCCGTGAGTTAAAATGAGAAATATTTTTACAGAGCTCAGTCCTTCCATAACTATTACTGCTGGACTAATCTAAACCAGGTACAATTTGAAGAATGAGCAAACAGAAGTTCAGGATTTGTTCAATCAACAGTTCACAGGTTGACTAGCAACAGGGCTCCTCTCCCAAAACCTAGCTCAGATACTTTAAGTTCACATTCCTTACAGTTTATTATTAGAACATCAACATGATTTGTGGATGGAGAATAAAATTTTCAAAATGAAGAACTCATAAGCAATTACAGCACCTATTTAGAAGGGGAGTGTGATAGGTGTGTTCTGGCCCCTGCTGCCATGCCAAGGTCTGGTTCAGCTGGTGAACAAACAAGGAAGAGAGGGGCTGGCATTCGTGGTGGTCTCTGGGGAAGGTACATTATAGTACAGAAGTGAGTTCCTTCTGGATGTTAGCTACTACCTTCATTTCCTCTTAGGTTTAGATCTCTTTCACTGGCAGAGTAGCATAAAAAAAGCTTTAGTTCTACACCTTTATCAATATTTGAGTAATTTTAAAACTTAACCAGGGATTAAGAATATTTTTGCTTTGCCTCTTGTATTGAAAGTGACTATTCTAACCTAAGGATAATAACCCGAGGTGCCTGAGCTGCCCTGCACTGTGGCAGGCTGCAGTGGCTGGGGGTGCACAGTGCAGGTCCATGAAGATCCTCCCTGTGGCTGCATGGCTCGTGGCACTGCAAAGTCACCCTGCTGCAGGTCCCTCTCAGCCCTGAATCCACGACACAACCATCCTGTTTGTAGTCCTCTAATTGCAACCAGCAGAAGACAAGAGTAACGTTGGGTTTGTGACTTGTTGCTTAGCAGCAGCGATCAACAAAAGTACAACCTTTTCTTCTGCTGTAACCTGGGTGAACCCGGGCTGGGGCAGAGCTCAGCAGCAGAAGGCAAAGATTTCTGAAGTCGTGTGAGGCTGCAGCTCAGTGTCTGTTAGCAGCAGCTGAGGGAAACCATCTCTCCTTGACCTTGTCGTTACCTTTGCCCTTTAGTCTTCTTTCTTTTCATCAAGTCTTAGAAGAAAACAGGCACCAGCCTAGGGAGGTGTGGAGGATGGGAA